CAGTTGTATTGTTTTTTATGTCTTTAAACATTATGTTACTTATGTAATATTATTTTATGCACTGTCATCATTTTTCAAATATTGAGACTTACATCATGTGAATTTGAACTCTCATGGTCCTGAAACTGTAATCTTATTGAAAGGGTAGATTGAGACCATCTTCTGGGTCTTCCGGAAGACAGTCAGGTTATTAAGTTGATATTGCCTGGTATCTATTTTTTCTTCTGTTGGAAGACCATCAAAATGGAGGATGGATCAAAATAGATACTTTGGAATACTGTCAGAAAATATCTCTGGGTCCGCTCATGTTATTGACCATTTTACCTGTTGTGCATGATTAAAATTCAGTGTTGACTGACAGTGCTATTATAAGCATTATTTATTATTGCATCAAAATTGACAAAATGACCTATTTTGCATCTTTATTTTCTGTTTTTTGTCTGTACATTTGACAGCTTTGCTGCCTTGTTTTTTAATGTGAAGAGTACGTAGATCTCTGAAGGTCCACATGGTGCACTGGTCCAATGGCAAGCACATATTCCAGAATAATTGTGAGCACTGCTGGTTTGATGGTAAAAATGAAATTCATTATATTCCTTTGTGTTGGTTAAAATGTATTTATTATGGAATTTTGAATTTTGTACGCATTTCAACATGACCAAGTAATTTCCCATTCTGATTTACCAAAACCCATAAAGGGGGCTCAAATTATTACAAAGCACAGAACCAAATTTGATGACATTTTCTAGCATAAAAAGACATAAAATAGTATAATTCTGTGTGTTTCATACGAGACATTTTGTAATTTACAATTGTGGCAATCTATGAATCTATGTGGGAATTTTAATCAAAAACTCCCCATTTTCATCATAAATGACATTGTCTTTTTGGTAAAACCTAGCTTTAGAACCAGACACCTTAATCTTCATATAAGAATCTCTAGGAGTCACTTTTGTTCCAAATGGTTTTTGATATCCTGTCTCATAGTCATATACATATGGGTCTTTGTCATATTTTATTTTATCCAGTATCTCCTTGCGAGCCTTTTCAACTGGCTTCTCGTAGGGATTCATTGCAGTTTCTGCATTGTTGCTATGTAGTTTATCTGTTGCTTTCAGATTCTCTTGTTCCATTGACTTTATTCTGTTGGCAGAGACAGAGGCTGTAGGGACAGGAGCACCATCTGAATCTTTACTTTCTGACAGTTTCCTTGTTCCTTTGTATTGATATTCCTTTAAAAGAACACCCAGTTCATTTTCATCTTTCACGCTGGTGAATTGTCCAATTTTATTATCATAGTCAATGCTATTTCTTAATCGTCCTCTGCCTCTTTTAAATTTTCTTTCTAAAGGCTGGTATGAAGGACTTGTTGCATTTTCTTCATTTTGTACTTCGTTATAAATGTCTTGATGGTGAATAGAATCGGTATCATTTTCATCAAACTGACTGAAGTGCCCTCTACTTCTGTAAGCCAGATAATCATCCTTTACTTGTGCAGGTTTATAAAGCTCCTTTTCCATGTTACTTCCATCAGTAGTCTGTCCTTCAGGAAATGCTACTTTATTAAGTAGGTCTTTTACCTGATCATCAATTACATACACAGATGTCCCACTACCACTTTCAAGCTTTTTTGGAGCCTCCATCTTCATTTGACTATCTTCTTTTTGGACAAGTGCCTCAAATGGACCAATAGTCCTAGAAGTATCTGTGAATTAAAGGATATGTTTAATTATTAATTAAGAATGTAATGACATGCATCACATGTACCATTCCGGAGACAAATGAGATTTCTACATAAACTCATCTTGAGTAAAAAAAAATCACACGTCTTCATGTCAATTTACAGCATAAAATGAAAGACAAGGTTTTGAATCTAAATGGGTATTACAACATACCTAGTTTGACTTCAGTTTCAATTTGTCAAGATGAAGAACAGGTGATGGTGATTAATGATGTCAGAGAAATGTAACGTACCATATTCTTTAAGACCAGATACAAGCATCTTTCTCTCTGGAACAGGTAAACCTGGAATTCCCGATGCAGTTTTCATCTTCTTAATGTTGCCACTTTTCACCAATTCTTCATACAACAGTGCAACAGGCCCTCCCTCTTTGCCTCCTCCTTCAGTCAACAACTGCCAATTTTTATTTACTCTGTTGTCATGTTTAGTAATTTCCTGTAGGTCACGGGGAACATATGAAGACTTGAGAATTTGGATTATACCATGACGGCTCACTGGAAAACTTTCACTCAGTCTAGAAAATAATTCATTTATAATTTATGGCAAAACTTGTACACATACATGAGCTTCTTAAAATGTATGAAAAATATAAATTAAAGCAGTATAATAGTTCAAAAACATCAATACCCACTGCAAAGATTTTCCTTATAGATGGCCACAGTGTACAAATAATATAAGAAGTATATTTATTATAGGTATTTCATTTGGAGAGTCAAGTGAAGTAAAAAAGAAGTAAGAATACAGACCACCAGTCTGTTCTTAGTACTGCAACACAGTCCTTTTTATCCTCAATTTATAATGAATGTGATTTGCATTTTACCTCCACTAAGGAGGTTATACTTTAGCTGGCTTTGGTTAGTCAGTTTACACCATTTTTGAAAAGGATTTTGGAATTTTCAGGAAAGGTTCAAAATTGCCAAGTTTACTAGCGATTCATTATGGGGGACACTCGGGTTCAATGTCACCCTATTTATATTGGTAAAACAATGCAATCCAAGTTACCCAAGTCAATCTCTCGGATGATGATCTGGTGTCACTCATGTGTCATAAAACTATTCCACAATACTACTACCCTATGCTCAGCTGTCAACTTGATTAGTAAGATTAACTGACTCTATGGGAGCCTAAGGGGATTTAATGACAGTCGTTTTGAATACTTTAACAGATTTTGATCAGGTTTTTTGCTTGATGGTAGAGTAGTATGGCACTCTCAGGTCTTTTATGTAATTATTAAGTTTGTGCACAGGTATTTAAATCATTTAACTATTTTACAACAATCATTTTCTAACCAATCAAGGTGACAGCCAAGCGTGTTCTACTCTTTACAATTTGACAACTAGCAAAATCATGCAGGCAACTTATATTTGAGCCATCTTGGCAGTATTATGGGCTCTCCGAGTGCCCCTCTAGCTGTCCCATTTTTTTTGTCCACTGAAACAATTTCATTTATTCAGCAGGTACAATATACAAGTCTTTGGCTATTGTTTTTTCAATATTGGTAAACTTAAATTGTGTTTTATGTTGTTCACATGTCAGTGCCCACATAGTTTACCTGTCTACAGTCCACTCTTGAGGAAATTCACGGTGGAGATAACGTATCTGCTCTTTAGCATCCCAAGTTAATAAATTAGTTTCTGGTGGTGGGCTGAAGTACTTCCTCTTCAAAATCTTCCACTTGAGAATTTTTCTAACTTTTTCTTCATCACTGTAATGAATAAAAACTTACAGATAACCATTCTCCTCTTCCAAAGCATCACTGACCAAAGCATAGATATTCACAAAAACACTATCATCACTTAGAGGGGATAAAGCGACCTCTAATCAGATCACAATATAAAATACTTTTCTTTGTTAAAAAACACTCTCTCACTAAAATTATTTATATAATTTCTTTCAGTGACAGTAACAGAAAAACCTTGTTAATGAAGATGGATGTTAATGATGGTGATTAAAAAACAGCTTTAAAGGTGGTAAAATATTACAGAAAGCAATTGAAAAAAATTAAACATAGTTTCAAAATTTGACAAGATCCAAGTAAAAGAAAAACAGCATGAAAACTTCTTGATGTCAATATCTTACTGAAACATGCATTCGCAAAACAAAGCAACACTAGCTAAAAACAACTGTAAGTGTTGATACCACTACCAAATAAAGGGATTAATTTAAACTAAAAGTCTCAATAAAAGTCCTTGTCCTGTATGGAAAAAACAGAGCAAGCTAGCTTAATACATACCCAAAACAAGATTATTTACTACAAAAGCTACTTGGCTGTGGCTGTAACTAAAGGCCTTTAATTATACATGGTAGAATCACTTAAATTGTCTCATATTGTCTCATGCCATTTTGTATCTTGACTGACAATTCTGGACATCGAGCAATTCCTTTGAGTTTGAAGCAGAACTGCAACGTGGCTTCTCAGTTTTGTGGTAACAAGAAAAGTGAATGGTACTAATGTGTATGTAAATTAAACCGAAATAATGACACTTAGAAGGATAATTGGATCAATCCAGTTCTGTATTTGGGATGCATTTTAGTCCCATAAATAACTGCAGCAGATTTCTGCTTAAACAAAAGTACCATATGGATAAAACAGTGTCCACAAAGGACACTTATAGAGTAAATAATACTGAAAAAAAAAAAAAGAAAAAAAAAGATCACGGCCATTTTCAAACTTGACAGTATTTTAGGACAATGAGTAATCCTGCTGAGTTTGAAAAAAATGGCGAAATTACTCTCTAGTTATTGTGGTAACAAATAATGTGCACAGCTTCTGCTCTAATGAGGCAGACAGACAAGGGTAATGACATTCTATATGGACACTATTGCATCTATTCATAAAAATCAATCCAGGAGTAGAGCTAGGATAGAATATACAAGAAATGAGAAAATTACCTTTTAGTAACCAATTTGTTATAATGTCTGTTGTATGTATCTGCCTGGAAATCATCATGGTTGTTTTTGTCTAATTCCACAAACTTCTCATACAAATCTGTAAAGAAAAAACATTAAATTTAAACAAAAGTGTGCATACATCCTCCAAATAAATATACAAATGTTATTTGCACAATAAAATGTCTTCTTGCACCCCCAAATTTCATTTGTTGACCCTACAAACTATGGCTCTATTCCCATAGATTTTAGATCGATCTATCCCCGTGGGGAGTCTCACTAGATTTTCAGATAATCCGACTTAAATGTCCGTCCTGCCTACTACAAGCTGTAAGGGGGTAATTAACTTTCGTGTCCGCCCGGCTGACAGCTATTTAGCGTGAACCCCCACGGAGTTAGGTTGATCTAAAGTAGGTCGATCTAATCTATGGAAATGGGGTGTATAAGGTTATCAAACAAGATGATTATCTCAGCTGAAAAATTCATACTCCATCTTTAAAGTTGAGTTTTGTGGTTGTGTGGACATGAACCTCAGCAATGTATTAAAATATGCTTACTTGATCATTGTTATAAGTATATGCATCCTCTTTGTAGTCAAACCTGACAGTTTGATATATGAGTATGTACTAGTACTCACATACAGTTCTGTCGTCTCAACAACCAATCACGTAATGGAGTACGAATATGTACTACACTCATACATTCTTTTGATAGACAAAACTGAAAGTCTTGAGTGCTTAGAACAAACACTTACCTGGTATTAACAGCATAATTATTTCTGCTATAAATATTTTATTCTAAATAATCTGTCTTTACATATGTTATGTCTATATGCTTCTGCAAGCTACTATGTTAATAACGATATTACAAAGTAAGTGATTTATCACTGTTAGCTTTTATATACTTATTAAAATATCAGTACAGTTCTTGACCACTATAAACTGCAACGAATAGCTTTAGGCTCCGTTCACATGGGAAATCTATTTTCTAAAAATCTAAAAATCTATTTTCGGTATCTTGTGATCATGGTCTGTGCCCTGAATACCCTGTGGCGTAATTACTGGCATGCGCAGTAGGAAGTTAGAAAGTAAATGGCAGTTGCGGTTAATTTGAAAAATGTGTTTGTCAATTTTGTGCAACAACAAGACGAAAAAGATGAAGAAGCTATACACACGACAGATATGAGTGCAACCGTCATGATCCCATGGCAAGCGATGCGTTAAGGTATCAGAATCTCCTCCGAGCGCAGCTGAGAATTAATTACAGCTTTGGAAGTAACTCGCTCGTGCTGCCAGTAATTACACCGCGGGGTATCCAGGGCACAGACCGTGATCACAAGATACCGAAAACAGATTTTTAGATTTTTAGAAAATAGATTTTTTCATGTGAACAGAGCCTTACAGTTAAGTACAAGTGTGTGTGTACATGTGTGTGTGTGTGTGTATGTATATGTATGGGTGTGGATGTGTGGGATGTGCACATGTACGTATATAGGTGCGCATGCTTTAGTATGTGTGCATATGTACACATGTACATATTTATTCTCATGCTGTAATGATATTTGTATGACAGAAATAAACTTACAAAAAAAAAAGAGTTTTGTGGTTGTTCATCATTATAAATAAAATATGTATGATTTACTTAAATTATCTAAACTGAATAAGATATTAAAAACAAAGGTCTTTGAGAACATGCCAAAAAAAAAACAAAACAAAAAAAAATTTTCTTCCAACCAAATGAAAGAAACACACCGACAAAAGAAATCAATACTAACAAATGTAATGCACAGTCAATGTGATGTATAGTACATACGTGTATGCATGTAGATCAATTTGAATTATCTTTGATAGGTATATCACAATCCGCAAGGGGCGCCACAGTAGTAACTATCCAGGGGCAGTGAAGTGCAAAACTGAGACCGGCCTGCTAACAGCTCGCCTATGACATTCCTTTTTTAAATCTCTCTTTTAGCGCCTTGTAAATACACTAATACAAGCCATTTACTAAATAAGCTGTAAATCAAAGAGTAAATTCTGGTCACGTAATTTTTCCGTGTTGCAGTCTTAGAGAACTTTGATTTGAGGACGTTTTGAAGTTTTGCCTTGACAAAATGTTTAAAATTTCATATAAGTACTGCATGGAAGTTTTTGTAATTTATGCTGTGTAAAGTTCATGAAATTTGCAATATTATGGCTAAAAATCATGAAAATTGAACCATGCAAAGTATAGTTTATTTGATGCGCAATATTTATAGTATATGATCTGCACGGAAGCCATGTGCTTGTGCGGTCACCAATTTGGTTTTGTTTCCAGGTCATTAGATTAACATAGAGTCCTAATTGCCCTAATTGGTCACAAGCAAGTATTTNACTAAAACCATGAGTACCGCCAGCGTATACGCTGGTGGTACTAATAAAATATGTATGATTTACTTAAATTATCTAAACTGAATAAGATATTAAAAACAAAGGTCTTTGAGAACATGCCCAAAAAAAAACAAAACAAAAAAAAATTTTCTTCCAACCAAATGAAAGAAACACACCGACAAAAGAAATCAATACTAACAAATGTAATGCACAGTCAATGTGATGTACATACGTGTATGCATGTAGATCAATTTGAATTATCTTTGATAGGTATATCACAATCCGCAAGGGGCGCCACAGTAGTAACTATCCAGGGGCAGTGAAGTGCAAAACTGAGACCGGCCTGCTAACAGCTCGCCTATGACATTCCTTTTTTAAATCTCTCTTTTAGCGCCTTGTAAATAAACTAATACAAGCCATTTACTAAATAAGCTGTAAATCAAAGAGTAAATTCTGGTCACGTAATTTTTTCCGTGTTGCAGTCTTAGAGAACTTTGATTTGAGGACGTTTTGAAGTTTTGCCTTGACAAAATGTTTAAAATTTCATATAAGTACTGCATGGAAGTTTTTGTAATTTATGCTGTGTAAAGTTCATGAAATTTGCAATATTATGGCTAAAAATCATGAAAATTGAACCATGCGAAGTATAGTTTATTTGATGCGCAATATTTATAGTATATGATCTGCACGGAAGCCATGTGCTTGTGCGGTCGCCAATTTGGTTTTGTTTCCAGGTCATTAGATTAACATAGAGCCCTAATTGCCCTAATTGGTCACAAGCAAGCATTCTTCGTCTTGTCACATACAACTGAGTGATCACTGCTGGTCAGTGGTCACAGGTTTTTAGCTGAAAAGTGTAGACACTTTTGGTGAATTTTTGCAGTTAAAAAACTTCAATATCTTTGTTGCTTGTGAAATATTTTAAAAATTCCAAAATAATTCATCTTTTTTTTTTTTTTTTTGTATTACCTTTCAGAAGATATAAGTATAATAATTTTCTGATCAGTTTGAAAAATTTTCTGATATACCTATCATTGAAAAAGTATTGAAAATGTGATAAAACATCTTAAAGGTGTATTCTTGCTGGAAATAAATAAAAATAAAAAATAAACACTGCCCTTTCAAGTTCCACGCATTTAGGTGAATATTTATCTAAATTAATTGAGTGCTGATCACAGTGACACATAAGGGTCCCTACCTCCATTAGACTTCCATGACATGGCTGCTCTAGCTGACAAATGAAGCTCATGCTGCGCAATAAAAGATGGAATTCTGAGTGCCAGCCGCCCCTGGTGGCAACTAAACACAACAGCTGCACTTAACATATCTGAGGGTGTTATAAGCCCACGTTAATGTGTTATATCCACGGAATGCTTCCTGTAGGCACGATGAAGGAGACAATCTGGTGCAAAACACGGGCGATCGTGGGAGCTGCCATTTTGAATCTCGTTTTAAGCATTTGTTTTCCTTCTATTTTTGCTACAGCATTTGTTAGCACTCATAATTTAAGTTAAGTTATTCTCATTACTCTTAGACTTTGTTGAAAAATCCACGCCTTACACTTTACGTGTTATTAGTTTCTTTTTTTTGTGATTTTAATCAGACATCTCGCGAGAAGATAAACGAGAGTTTGCCAATGAGAAAATGGAAACTGATGAGGCTCAAAATCCGCCGGCGGCCGCACAAGGTGCCACTACAACCTCATCATCGAGTTTTAAAATCCCTGTGTTTATATTAACGGATCTGTGTAGGTATGATGTAAATGAATAATAGCATTCATTAGATCTATACTATTCTCCATTCCAAATATCTTTCAACTACTAGTCGTACCAGTAGTACGAGATTCATAAACAACTTGGAACTTGCAGTTAAAATGATGATTGAAACTGTTTTATTTTTGAGATTTTAAGGTTTACTTAATATAATTTAAAAAGAAACGCTGTGTTACACCTGTTTCATATGCCAACAAACGTATTGTCCAAAACCCAGCCAGACTCTGGCCTGGGGGCTTCAGCAGAACGCGTCGTTCAAACCTCCCCATCTACACATTAACTACCAGAGGAGAAACGGCTGTGCCCAGTACCACAAGTACACAGCAGTGGGGCCGGAGGAAGAAAGTACTAGTGTATGACAGCCAGTGATGGTTAGAGGAAAGATGTTCCAAATCAGTATGAAGGTGGAAATGAGAGATGATTCCCACCTTAACTCTCTCTGGATTATCCAGGCTTATAAGGCCTAAACAAATGTGAAAAAAAAATGTTTTCTGCTGTTTCAGCCGTTTTATCATCAACATGCCAAAGGAAGAAAGACAAGATCTCATAAGGATATTCTTTCAAATTGAACTGGCACACTGGTTTTACCTTGATTTTTACTGTCCAGAAAACCCAGAGTACAAAACATGTGGTATCAAAGACTTTTCTGCTCAGAATATCCTTTCATGTTGTCTTCGTGCTACATTTGGATATTAATGTTTATCCACACAACAATAATGGATTTGATATGTATGTATTCAAAGCGGTGTAGCTGAATTGCGCAACACAGCACGATAAAAAAAATAAGTCCAGTTGCAAGTAAACACAGGGAAGGGTAATTTCAAACTAAATGTGGTGATATACAAGCTAAATTAATTACTTAGTAGTTAATATCATTGATGCAACTTGACAAACCGGCATGATTTTTTCATCATGGGGTCAGCCGCCATGTTGGCCAGTGGCTCTTCTTGGCTGCTAATATTTCCAAGAAGAGCCACTGTGATTCGCCAACATGGCGGTCGACATGACGATATGAAAGTCTCGACAATTTGTTAATTTATATCAACAATATTACTTACCTAGTAAAATATTTTGCTTTTATATCACCCTAATTTGTTGAGAATTACTGTTTCTTTTGTCGAATTGCAACTGGACTTGTGTTTTTTTTTTTTTTTATGTACAGACACAGATGTGTCTGTACATATTGCCATCACCTGCGTCTGTCGTCGCCGATGCCGATGCCGATGCCGATGCCGATGCCGATGCCGTCGCCGGCGCCGTGCACTTTCCTTGTAAACACGATAAGTGGAGGGCAGTTTTACTTTTTGGCTTAATATTTACAGAGCTGATGAATATTCATAAAACGCAGGTCAAGTTCGAAAATCAGCATGATCGGGCCATTTTAAGGGAAGTTATGCTGTTTTTTCACTTTTTTCAGCATATATGCAACCCTGTAAACACATTTTAAGGAAAACCGTTAGGCCTGTTGTCATGAAACTCACAGGAGTAATCAGTCTTATAAAAACACAGGTCAAGTTCGAAAATCAGCATGANAGTAAAATATTTTGCTTTTATATCACCCTAATTTGTTGAGAATTACTGTTTCTTTTGTCGAATTGCAACTGGACTTGTGTTTTTTTTTTTTTTCAAATGTATTGTGCTGTATTGCGGTGTATTGCGCAATTCAGCTACACCCTATACAAAGTGTTATAATTTGTCATTGTGTGTAGAAGTATGCCATTGTTTCTCAAATTTCCTTAACCTGCGTCACTTTTCAACCACTGTCCTTTTCTTATGCCACATGCTGATAGCTTTGAAAGGATTCTTGGTGACTGGAAATCCTACAAGCTTGCTGTGCCCACCTATGGAGCCATTATGCTAGACCCAACACTGCAATATGTGAGTAACATGTAGGGTAATGACGTTATTGTGCATAGGGATGAAGTTCAGGCACTATCTTACATATTGAAATATTTGTACAGACATGGGAAAAGCTGGAGACACTGATGGTACGGAGTACCTGCATTACAAAAAATCTGCAGGTTCTCCTGATTCTGTGCAGGTTCAGTAGTAGATGTTTACCTATGATTCATGTATATCTATTGTACTTGCACATAAATCTTGCTGGTTCAGACAACCTGCATTATCATAAATCTTGCTGATCCTCTGGCTTTTCAGGCAGTCATGAATGGTCGAAATTGCAGTTTCCCTATGTCTGTTTGTATGAAGAATGTTGAACATTATATGAACATGATTTAAGAGCATTGTTGTTTACGACTGCTGCTTGTTATTGATATCAAAAGATTTAATATGTGCACATGCAGTAGTTAACTCCTGGGGTTTAAGCATTGTGAAAATTGGTAAAGATCATACTTTTGCTGCTTTTTATTATAATTGAGTGTTTTATTCCAATTTCAGTGCATTCTTGCTCAGGGCTACTGGCAGAAAAGTAGTTGGACTTTTCCCAAAGGCAAAGTTAATGAAGATGAACTGCCAATAGATTGTGCAGTAAGAGAGGTATAGTTTTGTATTACTGTACCAATTGCAAATTTTCATTTGCTGACTCTGTTTGAAAACCTTACTTTTTAAAGCATAAAATTGGTAAAAAGAATTTAACTGTGGATATTACTTTTTATTTGTCAAACTATATTACCAATATAATTCGTTCAGCCATATAGATTCAGTGACCCTGGCTTGTACAAGTAAAACCACATAATTGAATCAAAGTTTTCTTTATTGAAATCAAAATTAATTCATAAAATACCATTGCAGGTGTTAGAAGAAACTGGTTATGATATCTTAAAGCAGATTAACAGCAACGATTACATAGAGCACAGAGTGAGTGACCAACTGGCTGGGCTCTACATCATTCCCAACATACCACTGAATGCAAAATTCAAACCAAAGACAAGGAATGAAATAAAGGTTACTCGATTTTATTCTTGGCAGCCATGTATTACAGTCTGTGTTTTTTAATGCACCAGCTTAAACAGTTAAAATGTGTACGAATGCGATTGAGTTTGTGATTTCCATTACTTCATGTTGAAAAAATCTTTTATGTTAAAAAAACTCACTTAAGAATAGTAAATTTGTTTTTCTTATCACAGAGCTTGAAGTGGTTCAAAGTTGACCATTTGCCAGTTCACAAGAAGGATCAAACCCCAAAAACAGAACTAGGTCTAAGTGCAAATACATTTTTCATGATTATTCCATTTATAAAGTAAGTTAACAACCTTTCTGAAAATATTTGTAGGTGCAAAAATTGAATATCAGTTCTTTATATTTAAATTATATCTTTGTATTTAAATATATATATTGCCCAATTTCCTATACTGACAACTTTTGTTGATAAGGGAATTTATATTTTGGTAATTGTTTAGTTGTTGATTTGTTATAATTAAGTACTTCAATAATGCTTTTTCTTTAGGAACTATGGCTTTTGCTACATACTTATGTACCTCTGTTATGTACATTTTCAGTTTGATTTTCACATATTCTGCTATTACTCAATTCTGTGTTTGGCGCTTTACAGGCCCTTGAGAAAATGGATAGCATCCAGGTTACGGAAAACCCAGCACTTGTCAGAATTGTCTGAATCCCAGGGTCCATCAAAAGCTAACAGACAGAGAACACAGAAAGAAACTCAGGATGTCAAACCTTTGACAGAGAAACAAAGACTTAAACAACAGCAGTATTTTGCTCAGCAAAACATGTCAGAGTATCAGGATTTCATGAAATTTAAAGACACTAAAGCAAAAGGCAGAGATGACAGTAAAAGCAAAGTGAAAGATGACAGATCGAAGACAAAAGATCAAAGACTATCAGAAAAACCAAGTTCTCATTCACCTACTCCAAAGTTCCAGAAGCAGATGCAGACCACCTCTCCAAAACAGAAGAAACAAGTCACTATTTTGGTAAGCATAAAATAATGTAAATTTGTTCCTGCACGTTTAGGATAAGAAATAGCAAAAAAAAAAAAAAAAATCTAAGTGTTGAATCAAATTGCTTTTAAAAGTAAAATGTTGTCTTTGCTGCATCTTACAGAATCGTGATGGCAGCATATCAGGAAAAAGCCCAGATAGTTCTAGGATTACAAGGAGGTCTTTAGCTACACAGTTTACTCGTAAGTACAAAAATTATTTATTGGCTGAGAATTTCATTAATTAGCTGGATATAAATGTTGTCGTAAAATTATTTCACATTTGTCTAAAACCCAAAATAGAAATAAGGCAAAATTATATAGATGAAGCAGTTAGAGGTTAATCATTTTCTTTTCCCCTCTTCAGATACCCCTGTATTTGCTATTACTATTAGCATAATGGAAAAAAAATATAGAAATGCCAGCTAGCAAACTGCTAACTGTACAGGTATCTCAGTTGTCTTTCATGTTATGGATTCTATTCTTATTTCATAATCAGTTATTTAAATTTTATTTTAGATCCAAAAACAGATGGAATGCAAAAATCAAGTCAGCGAAAATTCAAGAAAGGACTATTACATTTCTATTCTGAAACTTGGGCTAATTTCCAACTTGACAAAGAAGCCTTATTAAAACTAATGCCATGATGACAACTATTATTTTACAGTAACTGTTGTAGGAACATTAAGAGTGAAACAAGTATTTATTATGTTTCAGGATTTTAAGCAATACAATGCAAGGAACTTGCCTCCACACTAAGATTAAACTATTCATAACAGAAAGTGTTGCTGGTGAATTCGGCAAAGACATTGGTTTACTAGGCTCAAAATTTGTTGTAAGATAGAATTTTGACTTGCTCATAAAATTTAGTATGTTGATTGGTTGATTTTTCCAAGCACCCATATTATTATACCACCAGCCCAGCACTGGTGGTACCCATGACGTCACCATTATGACTTCTCCTCCTCCAGACTACAAGAGCCTGTGCATCCATCTATTGGATGAAGGTCACATATATTAATCTCAACTCGGTCCAAGTAAATTTTGGGCTTTGTCGGTGCACTGGTCTAGGTGTGGCACTTGCCACAGTGCACCCTTGTCCAAAATTTGCGAAATCTACAAAAAACCTAATTAAACAAAACTCCATCTGCAATACAATAACAACACTAACATAAAAAAAGAACCCCTGGCTTTTCTAACATTTTCATCTCTCATTCAATATACACTCCTTTCCTCTTCCAATACAACTCTACCACCACAACATTCACCCTATACTACTTCCCCATCTACAAAATAATAATAATAAATAAATTAATAAATAATAAAAATAAAAAAAAAACTTCCTTTGAACTGGCAAGTACTTAGTCTCCAATGTTATGAATTTGAATTCACCACCCGTAGATGTTAGTCCTCTCCTTTCTTACATTCATAAAGCATATACAGCAAACATTACAGTTGCTCTCCCTTATTGGTTTTCATTACAAATGCCCTTTATTCAGCTGGTGGTACAACACCTGGAGGCAGTATTGTTTCTCTGATCCTCTAGTTACGTACCAATGAATGCCCTATCTGGAGAAACTTGGCAAGCTGAAAGGTCTTCACCTAGTATCAGTTCATTACATCCGTCATTAAAAAATACAAAATCTTTTTCAAATTGTGTTTTGCCCATGTAATTGTTAATTCCATGATTTTCTTTTTGTATAGAGACAGTAAATATGGTCTAAATGAAAATCAATAAGGTTCCGACACCAATTACCAATCTACAGAAATATTTTGAAATCTAAACACAAACAAACTAATAATCAGACCAACACACCTGCAAAAGTTTTTGCAAGTAAAAACAAATTCATGACCTTGCCATTATAACAAGACCTCTGANAATATGGTCTAAATGAAAATCAATACGGTTCCGGCACCAATTACCAATCTACAGAAATATTTTGAAATCTAAACACAAACAAACTAATAATCAGACCAACACACCTGCAAAAGTTTTTGCAAGTAAAAACAGAAATTCATGACCTTGCCATTATAACAAGACCTCTGAGCATCTTGCAATAAAAGGAGTGAGATATTTATTCAACTTCAATTTTTTTTTAAAATAAAAAATATTACATTTTTACTACAAAGTGTACAGGCTAAAATTGAAGCTCAACAGGCATACCTTAAACTAAATATGATTTTTCATTTTAAAACCTCTTGGTCCTCCTGTATAAACTCCCTACAATAATATGTACAAAGGAAGACTACCCCTGCCCCCTAGCATGAAAATTCATGCGTTAGCACTCCTATTGACGATTCTGATATGTGCTATCTGTGCTGTTAGCAATCGTCAATAGGAGTGCTAACGCATGAATTTTCATGCTACCCTGCCCCCCCTGAGAGGAACATAGACTAACAAATGTCATGTTATGTTGAAATTTGTCATTCTCAATTTCAAATTTTTCATTTTCAAAATGACTAAAAAATGACTTTTAAACATCTACCATTCACAACCTTGTTCATTTTAGGTCAGACCTTATAAAAATGTAATGTAAAAAGAAATATTAGAATAGTGTGCACTGCCACTGCAAAATGATTACATTTTTCCAATGTAAGAAAAAGGTAAAATAGAAAAAAGTGTGCACGGTAAACGCCCAGTTTCTTTAGATACATAGTTTCTGAGTACCTGTATTGAAAAACTTGGGGCAATACTGCAAAAACAAGAATTGTGTTTGGTTACAAAAGTGACATATTTTCAGAATCTTTAAAAGATTTTCTGATCACTAACACCATTTCATTTTGAAAAAAAGTTAATGCATTGGTAAATTGCACCAATTCTTCTACCTGCAGACCCTCAGATTTTACAAATCATTGCATTTCCCCAGAAAACTGCCTCGNCTTGCCATTATAACAAGACCTCTGAGCAATAAAAGGAGTGAGATATTTATTCAACTTCAATTTTTTTAAAATAAAAAATATTACATTTTTACTACAAAGTGTACAGGCTAAAATTGAAGCTCAACAGGCATACCTTAAACTAAATATGATTTTTCATTTTAAAACCTCTTGGTCCTCCTGTATAAACTCCCTACAATAATATGTACAAAGGAAGACTACCCCCGCCCCCTAGCATGAAAATTCATGCGTTAGCACTCCTATTGACGATTCTGATATGTGCTATCTGTGCTGTTAGCAATCGTCAATAGGAGTGCTAACGCATGAATTTTCATGCTACCCTGCCCCCCCTGAGAGGAACATAGACTAACAAATGTCATGTTATGTTGAAATTTGTCATTCTCAATTTCAAATTTTTCATTTTCAAAATGACTAAAAAATGACTTTTAAACATCTACCATTCACAACCTTGTTCATTTTAGGTCAGACCTTATAAAAATGAAATGTAAAAAGAAATATTAGAATAGTGTGCACTGCCACTGCAAAATGATTACATTTTTCCAATGTAAGAAAAAGGTAAAATAGAAAAAAGTGTGCATGGTAAACGCCCAGTTTATTTAGATACATAGTTTCTGAGTACCTGAATTGAAAAACTTGGGGCAATACTGCAAAAACAAGAATTGTGTTTGGTTACAAAAGTGACATATTTTCAGAATCTTTAAAAGATTTTCTGATCACTAACACCATTTCATTTTGAAAAAAAGTTAATGCATTGGTAAATTGCACCAATTCTTCTACCTGCAGACCCTCAGATTTTACAAATCATTGCATTTCCCCAGAAAACTGCCTCGGGCCTATAAAAGAAAAAAATTTATCTACCTAACAACATTTTGGGGTTTGTAGATTTGTAAAAATGATACAGATATTGAAGAAAATCTCACATACATTGGCTGATTTTTTTGGCACATCCAACGAACCTACTTGTATTTTATGACGGAAGTTATCCATCAGCAAATTCCATCTATGGGTCCTAATCATATTCTCTCAGACAAAAATATAATTGACAAAAAATTAATGACATATTTAAGGTTAACCAATTTCAACTCACAATAAAAAAACTATCTGTTAAATTAATATAGAAATATAAATGGCTATGCTTTGCGTAATTTTTTGCTTCAAATGAGCACTTGAGACTTATGCCACTTCTATTTTCTTTGCTAGTTCCTGGATATCCTCATAAACCAGATCAAAATGCATCCACTGGTTGTCCATTCCATCCAGGTACACTACAGGAAAGAATAGCAACATTTCATATTCACTTATTAAAATAACTCAAGATTTTCTGCATCAATAACGAAGAAGTAAAAACTGTCCGAAAAAATTAATCTGTCACTTTTAAAAAAAGTTTTGTCAATAACAAATGTTTTTCAATAACTTCTACACTAGGCTATACTTAAGGTTTCTTTCTTTAAAAATTAATATTGCACAATATGCTCAAAAACTGAAATTTTGATGCATAAAAAAAAGAAGAAATGGCCCTTTCAGATACACCCATGAGTTCTTACCAATATCCTCCTGGTCTTTCAATTCAGCCTTGTTTTTCAAATACATTGGCCAGCAAATCTTCTCAAAGTAACCAGGAGGATCTGGAGGGTGGTAACGCCTTTTGCTAGATAAAAGCAAGCATAAACCTTATGATGCCTTTTCAGACAAAACATTTCATTCTAATATATATAATACACAATTAAAAAAACCTAAGACTATGATATGTGAAAATCAGTCGGGGGAAGGGAGTTTGTCTTGAGTTTTTGGGGTTTTAATTATATATATATATATATATATATATATATATATATACCAGTAAGTGGGAGATGGTCAATTGGGTGACCAACTTGAGGAAGGAATTTTACTTTATGTCCAATCTTTTATAAAATGATTTTGAAATGTTAAGAAAGTGAAATTTCATATGTAACAAATTTTAAAATTCAACAGGAACTGAATTCATTGATTGTCAGATCCTACACAGTTCGTATGAACTCACCACCTTCTCTTAAAACATTCCTCTTTGGGTAAAGTGAGGAAATATTTCTTGTCAAACACCTCTGCCAAAGGCCTGAAAGTATCGTGTTTAAATATATAATACAACAAGCAAACAAAAGATAAAATCACTTAGGATATCTTGCCATTTTAGTAGCTCACAAATTAAACAGCATCTGAAGGGTAAACACCAAAATCCATGAATTCTATTACAAAAGAGTGACTTAACTGATTTTAATACAACTTAGTCATAAAATTGAGACAAATATCACTTTGAATACCTGTAATTGTACAGTAGAAAACCTTCTACAAAGATAAGAGGTGGAGTCCCATCCTGACTGTGATAAGTACCAGGATCATTGATGGACTTCTGTACAACATTCATCATTTTCTCCATGTCTAATGCTGCCAGTTCTGGAAAAAAGTCATAACTTACCGTCCAGCTGCTTTCAAATTTATTGAATGCCACAAGGTGGTGGTGGTAACAAAAAAATAAGAAATGATTCTATTAAATAAAAGATGTTTTCACTAGAAAAACACTCAAGGAGTGAAGACCCCCCACTAAGGCAAGCCAATTCTCATTATTTCTAATTAATAATTGCCCAAATCATAGACACAGAGTCAAGATTAGATTTTACTGTTAATAATTTTAAAAAATCAAAAGCAGAACTCAAATCTTGGACGTCTCACAGATCAGCTGGCTATTCTAACCATCTAGCTACATTGTCCATGTGCCAACTTTTCAATTTAAAATGTGTACCAATAAAATAAGTCAAGATGCTTTTGTAGCTTAGGGGACATTCAGAATAGAAGATTAGAGTATCAACTGGTCCAAGGCTCAAATATGGTGGACCCTACATGAAAAGAAGAACGCTTAACCCTGTAATGGCCTCTCCGCCTCTCACACGCCTCCCCATGCGTCGTCCCTGCAGGGGCATATTAATAAAAGCTCCATTCGACCAGACACATGGGGAGGCGTGTGAGAGGCAGAGAGACCATTGCAGGATTAGGCTGTCTTCTTCTCTTGTAGGGTCCGCCATATTTGAGCCTTGGACCAGTCGATACTTGGATCTTCCATTCTGAATGGCCTCTTAGACCCAGTGCATGTGTGACAGGATGGGCGGGGGTAATAATGCATTTGTGACAGGACAGATAGAGGACATAGATGCAAAAAATTCCTGTACAATGCCCCATTTTACTAGTATAAATAGGTATAAATGGTAATCCGTATCACCCTCAAAATCTAATTTTTCCCTAGCCAATTTGTGACTTATCCTGAAAATGTCATCAAAATCCCTTTATAATGCTGTTAACAGACAAACAAACTAATGTTAACTAACTAATGGCAATGAAACATTACCTCCTTGTCAGAGGTGATAAATAATTCATAATTCATGAGTACATAACTTTGTAACCAGCTTTACATGTTAAAGATTAGTGATGAATTGTTTTCACATGGGGCTATTACAGAGAAACCCTTGCACCCAAACTATCTGGGGATCTGATCTCATACTTCCAACAGATCTGTAGCTAGGGTGGGGTTTAGGGGGTTTAAACAAACTACCCTTTTTACCAGATGTCTTCTTAGGGTAAAAAATTGATCTACATAAATGAAGGTTTCATGGAAAAAGGTCCACTTAAATAAAAAAAAATTAACATTGCTGGCTACCAGCCTATGCGATCAGAGTTTTTGGTTTAAAATAGCCCCAATGTGAACCAAGCTATATTTACCATCCCAATTGGCATGTCCCAGCTCTGGGTCAGTGTGGAGACCTGCATGGTTGGGTGGCTATAGTGTTGAAACGGGATAAAAGTGAATACTAGTAACATAAAAAATATTCATCAAATCATATTTTATAGTAATACAAAAAAGGACAGTAAAGACAAAGTCCTAACTACTGTAGTTGGACTTTTCATACAAATAATATATAGTGTAAAACTAGAACACTCGGTTGGCAGAGATCACTGTCAAGGCAAAATGTAAATAACAAACTAAAACAATGAATTGTGATTCTTTCAAAAAGGAAACCCAGGTTCAGTTAAAATTGCAATTACTTTTTTCTCTTCTTCAATATCACTTTCCTGAAAATATCATCAGAATTTGTGAACTTTTTGAGGGATAAAAAGAGATGCTGATGAAAACATACTCTCTTTTGTTTGCAGATGTAAACATTTACTTTCCACAAGCTTGAAGAAGTATTTCCTAAAATTTTTAACATAATGAACGTTGCCATGTAATAATATAAATTTTTAATCTTGGAAAGTCAATCGCCTTTTATAAAACTTACCAAAAAGAATTCGTCTTGATGAATCACTGGACATCCTGGAAACTTCTGTTTCAACTTATATACTAATGTAGTTTTACCACCATTTGTTACCCTACAAAATAAAATAACCAATAAAGTCTGCTTTTTTCTTGATCGAATTGGCATTTCAATACATTAGTTCATAAAATCACCATATACATCCCAGCGCGTAAACAAAAGAAACCCTCATTTGCAAGCAAATACTAGCATATATAGCTTTACTTAACTGTCGACGATGGTGGACAACCCAGCAATACTATTTCATACCCATTTAATTGTTAAGAATAACTACATTAATAACCTAGTAATATGTTTTTATGTCACCCCATTTTCTTGCAAATGTCTGTTTCCTGTGTTTATTATCTCCGCCAAGGAGGTTATGTTTTCACCCCTGTCTGTTTGTTTGTCATCAACATAACTAGATCAAAAAGTTATGGACCGATTTTGATGAAATTTTCAGGGTAGGTGGGAAATGGGTTAACTTAGAAGTGATTAGTTTTTGGTGATGATCCGGATCAATAATCAATCAAAAATAATTAAAAAACGCTGCCTTGGCAGAGGTCTGCGCTCTCGGAGTGATTTTCTAGTTCATGTCTGGAGTCATTCTCACAAGTGTACTGCACTGTATTGCATATTTTAGCATGACAGACTATGCGAGTCTCTTTGGGACATAAATGTTATGAAATTTGTTTCAATATCCTAAATCCATTTTAATTTTTTTTTTGTGCTATCGCAAAAGAGAGTAGTATTTTAAAGTATTTTTGCATGGTTTTTATGTTCATTGACCATTTAAGGTGACAGTCGAGCGTGTCTAGAAGGAGTACATGCATGTACAGGAATATCTGTAAAACTTAAATTCGCCCACCCGCTAATTCCGATAACAAATGGTCTGGTCATCCTCGCAAACGTCCTCAAGCATCTGTTCGGAATTCTACTTAAGCAAAAAATATATTTAACGTTGAATCTACTGTGAAACAGCATCGAAGTCGTTGTCGTTCTCCTCTAAATCTTGTAACTGTTGATCATCATCCACTGGGGTCGGACAACTGGTGTTCAATCTATCTAAAAATGAGTCCAAAAGTTTTTTATTCAAATGGTCAGTCTGCGAAATCTCACGCACTGGTTCCTCCTCTCCACCTACAGGACAGTGATCTGAATTGTTGTTAGCATGTGCAGGAACATTGTTTGTTATCACATTTTCTTCTTTTGCACGGTCGTCCATACTTTTTGAAATCTCGTTCAGCTTCGCGAGATTTCACATGGGCGACTGACAAGTAATAAAAGACGTCAATGACATGTTGAGATATACTTTGGTGAGCTATGAAAACATAATCAGTTCAACACATATGTGTGTAAATAGTTATCCATTTCGTTCTTAATCACCCGAAACATGTGTAATATGTGTAATTTATTAGAGTCCCTTTTGTAACAGATTTCACCATGTTGCTCAACACTGACAACAATATACCGTCAACCAGGTGCTCTTTATCCTCCAGTTCGAAATTTAGTTATCAGTGTAATCACGGTCAGTTTCTTTGAAAAAATCGTCACCACTTTATCTGCACGCGTGCGTGCACACACGCGCGTGCTTTTAGTACGTTGTTCGTTTGTTGTTGAAAAATCGACTACCTAAGATTTGATTGTACTCTACAATTACAAACAATTTTATTTAATTTTTGATGCACATGATATGGACATGGTATATGTTCAGTTTTAGGTCAATATGCCAAAGAAATTTAAAGGAGAGAACTCCAAGGCAAGTGAGGCCCGAGCTCGCAAGGCAGCTGTACAACATGCAGCCCAGGCAAAGAGAGAGCAGGAACTAGAAGATGAGTATTGGAAGGATGAAGATAAACATGTGCAGAAGAAGCAACAGAGAAAGGTTGTGAAAAACGTTTCAAATAAGTAATAATGAAATCATTCTTCTAAAACCATTTCTTTCTCTTTGTGATGATTGAAGGGGATGGTGGGGAATATCAAATTGTGGTAAAACTGTAATGGTTTCTTGCTTGTGTAAAAGACTAATGTGGCATTATGATGGTTTCATGATGATCTGCTTTATATATTAAGATACTGTACAAGTTTTCAAAATGTTTGAAGGTTGTTAATCTTTATTTAAAAACTAGTAATACCGCCATGTGATATTGATAAATCCCCTTTGTATTGTAGGATGAGAAAGAAAAAAAGAAAAATGAGCTTCTTGAGAGGAAACAGCAGCTGAAACAGCTTCATGATGAGGAAATGAGTGCACTGCCTGGTAAAGCAAGTGCCAGACCTAGCAAGTTAACCAGAGCCCAGGTAGAAGCAAATGTAAAGAAAATGGAAGAAGCAAGTAAAGGTAATGTTGTCTCATATCAGTTGATATTTATGTTGATTTCTTTGATAAAGATCAACAATTAGTGTTTCATGTACCTGTATATTTAAGAATGTGGATGTAATCTGATTTGTACTTATGATTTTTATCAAGTTTTCTTTGCGCATTTGATTACTGTTTGAAATACTGGTAAGTTCATGGTATGAATTGCTTCTAAGTCATCCATTTTTTCAGATGTTTCATCAGTATTCAGTATCCCATAGACTTCCCCAGGGAACTGAACTGAATACCTGACAACTTTGACAATGAGTTCAATTCCCTTAACAGTAAGGAACTCTATGAGATAGATGAAACATCGCAGCCCATCTGTACATGAATGCCCAACATGTGATTTATTTGTATTTTTATTTGCCTAAAACTACAACTGGATGAATCAAAATATACACTTTGATATGAAGTTTGTCATATAACATTTCATTTGCAGCAGCTAAGAAAGAAGAGGATTTGACTCACATTGAAAAGCCATTGGAGGAGAATGTAAATGTAATTCAAGTGGAAGGAGTTGAGGCAAGATCTGTGGAGGATGCTATCGCAGCATTAAGGTGAGGAGTGCTGGGATTGTGCTAGTTGTGCCAGTAGTTATGAATTGATTGTGTTGCTTGAGTTGAATATGATGAAAAAAAACCATGGAAAAATATCAGCCTGGTTTAAATACTCCCAAGTGGCAGTATAAGGAAACATATTGCTCAAAGCAGTTCATTATCGTTATGTCAGGGTACCTTATTTGTGGCATGATATCCTGTTTTTGGATGTTTTTTTTTCGTGCACAATATTTACTTGAATAATAAGTCTCCTTTTCTCTTCACTTACTATTACATGTTCACTTATTTTTCAGCCAAACAATGGATTTAAGTTTAATCTATCGAAGGGTTTACACCAGATTTTAAAACAACCCTGAGAACCAAGAACTTATGGTCTTCTTACAACATTAGGCCATTGTTGCTTTTGTCAATTCTGTTAAATGTTTTATTTGTGCTGTAAATAATGTTTGTTTTAGTTGTGCTATGATCAGTGTTAATTGGGTGCATGTTTCCACCAAACTGAAATTAACTCAGATTATTGATTACATTGCCAAAGTGACCCCCCCCCCCAAAAAAAAAAAAAAAAAAAAAAACTGATGGAAACATTGTTGTGCAAAGTTTACAGAAAGAGCATACAGTGCTCATGTCTCCTTGTTAGCTTTCACATAAGGCCTCTTGCTGAAGTCAGTAATGGTTGTCACCCTCTGGTTGTATGCATTCAGTGGTGTAAAGAGTGGCCTGGGGCTACAAATAACTGAGTCAAAATATTTTTTTAAAGATATGAAACGTGTGGAAGCTGTTAAGGTGTAAGATTGACATGAAGATTGTGAAAAATTAAAAAAAAAAAACTATTAGAATTCAGAAGTGTTGTACAAGTTGTGTACTGAACTGTACTTGATTTGCAATTAAATCCATGCAACCTGTTGATGACTTCTGCAGGGTTATAATTGCTAGAAGTGCAAAATTTCAGAAGCACTTGTTGTTTCTTGAGGTATAAAATGGCTTATTAAAAAGAGTGATATATTTACATTTAAAATTTGACTAAACATTGCTTTTGTGAAATAGCTTTTCTTGTTTTGTTTTCTAGTACCAATGATACAGAAACAGTAGAGAGGCATCCAGAGAGGAGAGTCAAGGCAGCATATGCAGCTTATGAAGAAGAAAATTTGCCTCGTCTGAAACAGGAAAATCCAAATATGAGACTATCTCAGTTAAAACAGATGTTAAAAAAAGACTGGCAGAAATCTCCCCAGAATCCTTTGAATCAAAGGAGCTTAGCTTACAATGCCAAGGCCAGCTGAAATTTCAGTGTCGATTTGGTAACAGCTTGAAACCACACATGGTTTTAAATATTTCATAAAATCATGTCCAGCTTGCACTACCTCCCAGCTTGAAGAGTTACCTGGTCAGGAAAGATTTCAGTTGGTACATTTTAAAGTAAAAGTGGTGCTTATCAAGATGTATCAAACAATTAAAGAAAAGTTACAAATCATTCACCAAACTTGTTGTGAACCACTAGTGTAGTAAGATACAACATATTTCAACTCTTTCGAAAGAGTCATGTTTCTTGCAAAAAAAAAAAATAATAATAATAAAAATAATAAAAATTAGCTAGGCTTTTAAATACATAAATCTAAAATTCTCTGGGTCTTTAATAAAATTTAATCACCCATTTCTGTTAAAGATGAAATCTGTGTGAATCTGTGTCTGATTTTGATCTTCTGATGGTGTCAGTTCCCCATCATTTCATCATTCCCATCATACACTGGTCAGTATAACTCAAAAGTTTTTGGAGAAAAAGTTTGTGGAGGGTAGAAAATTATGTAAGATGATCTGCTGCACACCGCTTTATGACATTAGCTTTATCAAACAGACTATCAAATAAACAAATAATAATAACTTATAAATAAAATAAATGTGGACTATTAATCATTGAAGCAATCTCTGTTTATTTTTATTTCTAAAAGTATGTTTATAATCACGAAAAAGAATGTACAATTTTACTTTCATTTTTTTTCTGCATGATCAGTGAAGCTTGTAAGTTGATGATTCTGGGCAGCCCAAAGTGCTGGTGTATTACAACGTTACGTAGTTGGTGCAGTGGTGTGTGGAACGCATTTATGAATTACATGACTTTACATTAAATAAAACATGGCACAGTCTATTGTCTTTTGATGGGCTTTAAGGTGTCATATGGTGTAAGAAAGGTTATATTATGTACTGATTGCAACACGAGTCGTCTACTGCATGTAATATACGAGAATGTAATTATCTAGGCGCAGGTCAAACTGTAGTTTCTACGTAGTTTACGTACATTAACACCAGCACATAAGACAAGGTGGCCAGACTACTTGCCCTAACTAGTCACTTCACATTCGGCCACTGGATTTAGTCCATTTGATTTGATATTTAAACAAGACTGCCTATTGATTCGATGCTCAATAATCCAGCTCAAGAGAACAGAACAGATATGTTTGGATTTAATCACAGAGAAAGACTTCAGGAAGGTTAGAAAAGGACCACTGAGCAACTAGAGGCTAACATTGAAAAAAGGAACCACTGATATGATAAATGATAAATGGCACAAGAGGACATGCTGCAAGTTGGGGAATCACATGCACCTTAACATCTACATACTTGGCAGGAATAAGAATGGTGATGCTTGGTTATCTGAAGTATATATAATAAAAGAAAGGTAAAACAATACCACCCACATAGTGGATGTGATGGTTGGGTAAAAAAACCTGTATTAATCCCAAAGATTTGAAACTTTGTGTACTAAAGACTGTAGGAAAAGTTATTGAGAAGAGCAAATGACAAAGAAATGTAGTCAACCAAAGAAAAAAGGGCTTTCTATTTCTTCTAAATCTGATAGTGACTATGAAGTAGGAAAAAATTGAGGACTGTTTCTATTTCTTCTGAATCTACCAGTGACAGTGAACTAGGCTTTGACATTCAAATGGAAATGCAATAAGAAAGTAGTTCTGAATTGGAAAACATGCCATCCACTTTGACAAGCATCAATCAATCAATGAACATGGAAAAAAGAGTCTGCCATGTACTTCAGCCACCACAACCTAAATCAGCACTGCCAGCTACTGTGACATCCTGGTCTACCTTGGATGAGTCCTTTCCCTCCTCTGGCCCAGTACCAGTAAAACCCCAAAACAGAGATAAATCAGGACAGCTTATTGACACCACTTTGACCATTACCTTGCCATCAGCTGTTAAAAAAGTAATTTGCAAAGCTGGTAAAAAATTTATATATAAATGTGACTTTTGTGTCATTAAAATGTGTTACATGCAGTTGTATTTTTCAATTTGCAGAAAAATATGTAATATGAGTGTTCTGCAGACAGATGATATGGATTAAAAGGATATAAAATTTCTTTAACACCTTTTGTGAAAATATTTCCAAAATAGTCTTCCTTTTTTATTGGAGCATGTTTGGGATACCAGTATGGGTAAATATTATTCAAGTGTGACTGATAACTATGATTACATGGGCGTAACCAGGCATACGCACGGATGCACTGTGCGTACAATTTTTTGGGGCCAACCATTATATTTTTCTCTATAAATTCAGTATATTTTTCAAGGATTATAATCGAAAATCCCTTTTGGTGATAGGCTTATGTCACCTGAATGTACTCTATAATTCCTCTCTATAATTTACATATGCACCAATGTTCTGACACCCTTCTCGTTTGCTTTCACAGAACTGAGGTAAACAATACTAGTTACCATCAGAAGTCCTATCTTAATCGTCCATCTAGCTGGAACTTCTTTTACCTCTTAATTACGTAGAGGGTAAAGAGCCCTTCAGCTCTCTGGTAGCCTTTGTCTTGAGTGTATCGAACGCACTCTTGCTGGCGATATTTATCTCAGGTAAAAATCTACCTGTGCGTCATTTTCAAAGAGCAGTTCCAGCAGACCTGGGGGCACTAGATAAAATTTGAACATCGGACTAAACAAGGAACCAGAGAAACAAAGGAAGATTGTTTTTTCCTGCAAAGCCTCAAATAATTTGACACGGACTTGACCCTGCTTAACCCTCCAGAGTAACAGGGTGGCATGGGCATTTTTTACAATTTCAAACAAATAATTAAAGGGATAATAACTCTTTGTATGAGATCTATATTTCACAATAAAAACATTGTGAATAACTCATAGAAATATAATATATTCTGTTTAACCACAAAAACGGCAGTTATAGCTATTATTCTGGTATCTGAGCTTGTCTTTAGACCACGTGACCTCCATTGACGGCTATACTCTGTTAAAATCTCTTAAGAGATTTTAACAAAAAACCAAACTTTTTGGAAAAAAACCAGAGACTAAGTTTGAATGTTAAAATGGATTCATTAACCATTGGTAAGTATGGGAATATTGTTGTTTACTCCAGGAAAATTCATTTTTGGCTGAAGCGAAGAGTTATTATCCCTTTAAACTTAGATATATCAGAACTTTAAGTAATATAATTGGTTGATTTGGGGAGCCATGCACCCGCATTTAAGCTGGGTGATACCATACACTATAGAGAAGCTGACCATGGATATCACGAAGTAGATAGAAAGAAGGCGTAACAAAAGTACAACGATCCACTGCTTTTCAGATTATTTTCTGAAAACTCGGGATAACTGCAGCAAACTACATAGAACAGCAGTACCGCACTGTTATTCAGAATTTAGCTCGATACAAGCAGGCACAATCTGCATAAGTGCCCAAAGTTGGTGTTAGTAAACCCCAAGTTAAACAAATATACTGTTATGAGCAAGGGTTTTCCCAGCGAACCGTCCAGCCGTCATTTGGACGGCAGCTGACATCACCGGATGCCCTATATTTTCAAAGATGGCATGACGGCTTACGAATTTTCTTTTTTTTTTTCTTTTAAATGAGGCCTTGGCTTGTCGGAGCGGCCGTGGACGTTGTACGAATTTTTTTAGAGTAATTTGACTTACCCAGCTTTTATGATGTGTCACAGTTGAAGTAGGCCTACCACTTTAATTTGTAGTGCACGCGGTTATTCAGTCATGACGAAACTACTTCCTAAAGCTTACACAAACACAATATCATATTTCCATTAACTTTAAAATACACATGACAAGAGTGATCTTCATGCGGTACAAAACACGTGTAGGCCCTAAACGAACTCTTAGCAAACTAACCGCCAAATTATGAAAGGGAACACCTTCCGGGCCTTCATACACCTGACAAAGCTTATAGACAAAAAGGCAATTTTCAAATATTCAGCGAGAGATCGTTCTTATCCGAGGAGGCAATTTTCATATTTTTTAAAGAGACTTCGTTGGCCAAAGAGCGAGACTAGAACGCAACTTTCGTATCGTCGGCGGGAGATCGTTCGCAATCTCATATTCGTTCAATGGCTTTCGTTTGCGAAAGAACGTTCTCGATCTAAGCGAGACGAGGATGCATTTTTCATATTCATTCAAGGGAGTTCGTTCCCGAAAGAGCGTCAACGGAAGAGTGTTATCGATTGTTTTAAACGCCCCCTCCCAATTGAAATGTATTCTTTTTAAAATATTTTTTATTTCATTTTTACCCCCCCCCCCCATTTTTGCGTAAGTGAACATTTAGCCGTACCTGGGAATTTTGAAAATCTGTGCGTACAATTTTAAAAGGTCTGGTTACGCCCCTGAATGAACCAACTTGTGTACTGGTAAATGAAATCATGAAACACAGTGCAGTGTATGAAAATACAGGCAATTAAGCCTGTATGTGAAATACCAATGCAATTATCTTATTGTATCAAGTGCCAGCCATGGTATAAGTATATTTTTAAGCTGATTTCACTGAGACCATTTTAGCAAGAAACCCTGTAGAGTTAGATCTATCCAGCTAGTATGATGGGTGTATGGGGATGCAGTCTTAAACAAAAGTTGGCACCCCTTCAAGAGTAACAGGAAGATTTTGTCAACTTGACATATGTTTTATGGTCAGATATCATTTAAAATGACCTTGCAAAATTAGAAAAAGATTTTATATCCTTGTAGTTACTGGATGAAGTAATCTCAGACATGATGCTTCATCATCCCATGGCAGGTCAGAGGGTTATGAATCTGCTGAAGATTATGGGAATTCATGCCTTTTTATGAATAAAATAAAGTAAATATATAACACATTTATCATAAGATATAACTTTGAGGAGTTAGTAAGAACCAAAATCATACTCTGATGATCTCATGATCAGTTTGAATGCCTTTAATCCAGGTTGTTTTAGTACATTTTGATTGTTTATCCTTAGTAAAGAATTTTGGTTGATATCAAGAAGGAATGTGCTTTGTGGCTGAAAATTTTTGGTTTTAATATAATACAAATGCAACACCTGTAAAATGCATTAAAGACTGAAAAGGTTAATTAATGGAATTAATTTTGAAAGAATACTGTTCTATTAATTCTTACGTGTATTGGCAATAACACAGTTGAGTTCATATTACAGTATATAAAATTGTGAATGCATGTTTACTCACAAAACTTGGAATGTCAATTTAACAAAGACAATATATAAACTTAACAAAAACAGAAATGTAAAATTTACTTAAAACAATGGATATTTCACAACTCAGTTTTAGGATGCTTATAAATATTTGCAAGTTTCATGGCATCAATTACCAGCTTTCTGAACTCTTTTGTTTCCACAGTTGTGTCAGAGTTGGCTCTGTACACATCTCTTGGTGCTTCAACTGTTAGTTCTTTGTGAGAATTATGCCACTCCAGGTATCCACCTCTCGCTTTTAGGATTTCTCCAAATTGCTTAAAGTTTAAAGAAGCATTGTATGGAACCAACTGTACAGCGACACTGCCCTCTGGGAGAAAGATACCATTCATGAGACCTGCTCCATTCATGCCTATGAGAACTGCATAGTTCTGAACCAACTGTAGCTGTTCTTGAACAGTCTTACCACCAAATTCAATCAAGTCCAATTTTGTGATATCTTTCACAGACTTCACAAGCTCTTTTTCATTCAGAATCCTCCGTCGATTTGCCCTGAAATGACCATGGAAACTGATTAATGCAGTCTTGAATAACATTCAATAACAAAATTCAAAACAAAGATGAATTGCAACAATTATAACTATGTCTGACCTATTGCTGGCTCCCAAACTTGAACTGGAACATTGAGTATACCAGTGGGTGACATTTTGTCTTTTTTGTATACAAAGACAAGAAATCAAAATTTTATGTGCATGGACTACTTGTGGCAGTTCACAGTAGAGTCCTACTGTGCATCAAGATGATGACAAATTTTGTTTGCAAAAAAAAAAAAAAAAAAAATTACTCTGCCCGATTTGCCACATTTTTGTCTTAACTTGTCCTGAACTAGTGACATCAACGGGTGGGTGGAGTCCATCACTTAGTAAGAGGTCAATTATGAATCACACCTCATCATGTCTCACACTAATTTGAAATGATAATTCCCACATGCCTACCTTGATATCAGTCCTACTTTCCTTGGTTTAGTTGGCGTTGTCACATGGAGCATGGTTCTCATATAATTGACATAATTCAAAACCAAATATTTATCATTCCAGTCATACCTGGGAGTCTGAAAAAAAAAAATATGGAATTTTATTTTCATTTTTTTTTTCACTTTGAAATGGGGGGGGGGGGGCTTTGACAAAAAAGCAATGCAGATTTAAGATTGAAGCATGTCTCGGTCAACTCTACAGTGGTGTTTTAACAAATTTTAAAAAATGCGATAAATTGGCAATCCCATCTTCCGAACTGGTTTTTTTACGCAGAACATACAATTTACACTGCAGGATTATCTGCATGATGTCTTCTAGTAGTGATAACAAAGTTTTGTATGTTTTGGTGGCAGAGACAGCTAGCGAAGCCAGTGACAGCTTCAGGGAAAATAAACTGGCAGTATATTTAATCATGACCTTACCCCTAAATATATTTCCTTAAAACAGATCTTGGTTTCTTTCTTAACAAAATCTTTCTGGAGTGGTTTCATGTTATAGTCACCTGTTAAAAGCTGTAAAAGATTGTTAAATAAATTAATTGATCACAAATCATTGTATTTGAAAACTAATTTTATGAAAACATTTGTTGGATCATTAAATCATGCTTCAAACATCCATAACATTTTAAATTCTTAATAAGCACAAAAAAAGTAAAAATCACCAATCTGTCATATTTAAGTGATTCTTCATGATTCAGAATAGATGATAACAATTCAAATCAAAGGTTAAGAATAACACACTAGTATGTATGTATGTATGTATGTATGTATGTATTATGCATATATACTATAATACAATACCTGCATCAACTGCATCCAATACTTGTTTTCATTCTGAAATGCTGGGGTTTCCCAATTAATTTTCTTAAAAATAATGGAGAAAAAAAGAATTTCAAATAGCTGCTTGTGTTACTATTTTCAAATCACCCTCAACTCTATCCATTATTCAAATACTGTGATATATGTAAAGTTGGCTCACCCACTCAGCATAGGTAAAATGGCAGTATGTGTATTATTTTACTGTAACTTTAACTTTTTTAATGATCTTTTCTTCTTTTAATTCAACACCTATTCAAAAATTCAAATAATGCAATAAATCTGCATCTAATGAAAAATGACATTTTATGCCCCCATTTATCAAAATACCAAAAGAAGTGTGGCTATCAGATGTATTATTGATCATGCCAACAGCTAGACCACAACATGCAGTTTGAAGCATCAAGGTCATGGCAGTCAGTTAAATTTCCTTTTGTTAAACACAGGTGTCAGACTATACTGGAGAGTTAGTGTATTAAGGTAAGTATTCTTTCCAGGTGTCTGTAGATCATGTCAAAAACCCTCTTCAGATGTGACATATTTATTTAAATTAATATCTTCATCAATATGCCTGTTATACAGAGGTACTTGAGATTGAACTCAATGTTTCTCTATCTTTATTAGACTTAACTGTTAGCTTTAGCTTTAGGTAATCTTTGCAAAAGTTTTATTCAGTGAATAATATAAAATTCCAAAAATCTAAAAAATAAAAGTCATTCTGAGGTTTAACAGTTCAAACATACAGGTGGACACAGGGAGAGAGAGGGGGGGGCTTCAAACCAATTAAAAGGTTCAGCACTCATCTGTCTCAAAATGGAGAGAAAAGACAGATATCATATCCACAGAACTATTCCAAAATGCCCCAAAGTGTACCATACTTTCCAAAATTTATTTGCAAGAAGGGTGAAGAGCATTCTCCTTTCAAATTACACTAACACATATTAAATATGTAATCTTTATAATTACCATGATACATTTTTATGATTAGATATTCAACATTGGTCAAATCATGAAAACAGATAAAGAAAAGTTCATGCAATTCACTTCTGACAGAATGATGAGGTTATTTGATAAGAATATTTCAACTGATTTTTTTTTAATCATTTGGCAAGATATGAACAGTTTTTCTATTTTGGTAACCACTGTGGATTTCTCATTTCTTTTTTAATATAAACAAGTTAATGAATTGACTGAATAAGGGAAACCTCTTTAACATGTAATAAATGAAACTCACCTTCAGTCTTGAACTTTCCACAGAAGGCATCAACAGGGTAGTTTTACGTCCAGTTTTTGATATGTCATGATACATTACAGAAAATAATGGTAACATCATGTCCCAGTGTAAATGGAAGTAGTTACTATTGCCTCCATAAAAATACATTGTAAAGACATAACCTACATCATATGTTTCTGTGCAAGATATATCATCAATCTGTCCATCAAATGCTTGCACATCCCAAACTAAATCTGTTATTGAACAAGTTTTCTTGTATGTATTGATCACATCATTTCCACCAATATTGATGAGAAAGGACTGTGAGCTTCCATCAAGTACCACATTTGTTATTTTACAAAATGCTCCAGGATAGTGTCCATAAGAAGCTGAAACTTCTGAAGGTCTCAATATTACAGCAACCCCAGGGTACAGGAATATCAACAGCTCCAACAAAAGAACCTGTCTGTCTGCTCTGCTCATCTTAACTTGCACAAGTGACTAAGCTGTATAGAGTGAAAAAGTTGATGGGCAGTCAGTCTGAGTAAGTCGGTAACATATATATATATACATATCAAGGCAATGCTTTAGACTGGGTTTCCACAGATTTAGATCGATCCATCTGGATCGACCTAACTCCCTGGGGGTTCACGCTTAATTACTGTCAGCTTCCGGGAGCCGAGCGTGCACAAAAGTTAATTACCCCCTTACAGCTTTTAGTAGGCGGGACAGATATTTAAGCTGGTTAAGCTGACTGCAATCTAGTGAGACTCCCCAGGAGGATAGATTGATCTAAATATCTGTGGGAATGGTCTCTAAGTGTAGGCAATGTGTGGCTAAGGCACAGGAATTTGAAATGTAAAAGTGTATATTGTAACTATATGAAGTCTTTTGATGCAGGTATGATTTGCATATTTCATGCAGCCATATTAATAAAATGTTCAATTGATTTTTTCCTTAAGTCCATCAAGGTATTTTTTTCATTTTTTGAGAAACAAAGAGACTAATTCTAATTCTAACAAGGCAGCAAAGCTGTCAAATGTACAGACAAAAAGCAGAAAATAATAATGCACAAAATAGGCTACTGTCAATTCTGATGCAATAATCAACATCAAATTTTAATTATGCACAACAGGTATTACTGATATAAGTAAAATGTGTAACTGGCATAAGGCTTCAGGCCCATGAGAGTTCAAGTTCACACTTTAAATTGCCAGAATGAGAAAAATGAAAATTTCACAAAAAATGCACGATTTCCATAAAAAGATGATAATCCAATAGAACTGGTTTTCTAATTTGAGCTGTATGTCAATCCTAGGAATCATTCTTGGAAGTTAAAAAAATAATAAGTAACACAGTTTTCTTCACATAACATAAGTGGTGGCAGTCCACAAAGTAGGTTTTTTGTCAATTTTGATGCAGTATTACATAATGATTAACAGTATTATTACCACCAATTTTTAATTATCTACTATAAATAACATGAACATTTAGAAAATGTGATTATCATTCAGCCTCAAGCCCATTGGAGTTCTAAGTTCTACACTGAAAATACCAATATGTGAAAAATGAAAATTTCACAAGAATGTATAACTTCCAGACAAAGAAGCTAACTTGACTCTTTTCCAACTCAGGCTGCATTTTAGTCTTATGTTTCTTCTTTGTAAGTTTGAGAATCATAAGTAACATGATTTTCTTTTAATGGTCATGGTGGCAGTGCACAAAATAGGGTTTTCTTCACTTTTGATGCAGCATTATAGAACATAATGCTTAACAACATAATGACCATTCATTTTTAACAATAAAATATAAGTATCATGGATATTCAGAAAATGTGACTAGTAAAAGTCTTCAAGCCCATGGAGTCACACCTTAAAAAATGGACATATGTGGAAAATGAAAATTTCACCAAAAAAAGTATAACTTCTAGAAAAATTAACGAATCAGACTGGTTTTCCAATTGAAGGTTTATTTTAGTCCTATGTTTCTTTCCTGTAAGTTTGAGAAGAAAAAGTGGCATGGTTTTCCTTTAATGGTCACTATGGCAGCAGTGCCCAAACAGGGTTTTCTTCAATTTTGATGCAATATTACATAATGCTTAACAGCATAATCACCACCAATCTTTAATTATGCACTGTAGGTAACATGAATATTTAGAAAATGTGACCAGCAAAGGTCTTCAGGCAAGGAAGGAACTTCAAAGTCACACCTTGAAAACGCCAAAATGTAAACAAGAGATAACTGTTACATGCTGAAATAAGTTTATTTCCATTTTCAACATTTTTTACATAAAACAAAATAACCCACTTACTTTCATTTTTATATGATCAAATTGTTGAGATGGGAAAAATATCTATAGAACAACTTTAAATGTCCAATTTGCTCCATTCTGAGATTCTGAAAATAGTAAATGATTGACATCCATGTCTGTACATAAAAAGTCGGCAAAGTAAAATACAACAAATGAAAGCATGACATCAAAAGTAGTCTATTCAGTTTCCACGTGTGCAAGTATGGCAACATTTTTATTTGTAACAGTGGGGGCTGCAGATTAATTATGCAAGTGGCAAGTACATACATCATCAACTGCATGAATAAATAGCCTCAACTAGAGTGTACCAAGTAACTTACTAGTAATGACAAGCAACCAGCTAAGGATATACCTCTTAGACCCCATTCCCCCGGATTTTAGATCGATCTATCCCTGTGGGGAATCTCACTAGATTACGGCTTAAGCGTCTGTCCCGCCTACTTTAAGCTGTAAGGGGGTAATTAACTACCATGCACGCTCGGCTGACATCAATTTAGCGTGAACCCCCAGGGAGTTAGGTTGATCTAGATGGATCAATCTAAATCTATGTGAATGCACTCTTAGTATTTCAATTGTAAGGTTAACAACTTGTCAATGGGCAAATTTATCAATTTTTATATACTGATAGCATTTGTGGTGCTTTTACTGCCTAGAATAGAACTATAGGGTAGCCTGTTTTTCAATGTTGTTGCTGCATGTACCAGTCGCTAGAGATGTTCTTATTTAAAAATCGGTCTATAAAATTCTCATTGCCCCCCCCCCCCCTTCTCCCATTGAAAAGATCAAGTCACTGCCATAATTGCTTCACAGGACTCCCACTGTGTATCAAGGCAATGCTAAAGTAAAGGCAATGTGTGGCTAAGGCACAGAAATTTGAACTGTTTTTAATCTCAAACAGATCTAAGACTTAATGTTAGATTTCAAGTTGCTATGTGCCATACAGGTGTATGTATATAAAAATAAATGATCATGCTTTCTTTTAAAACAGGCAACAAATGTTTTAACATGAGGTTTTGCCACAGGATTGCAGAAGAGTACATGTATGTGCACTTATAATTTACATTAATAGATGCTTTGAGAGAAATTCTATTAAGTTATTTATAGATTATTTGTGGGTTTTGTTAATGTCTACTTTTAGATATAAATTCAATTTCCCTGATTCTAAGCTACTAGAACAGATACATGGAAACTTTTTAGCAATTTACGCTTTTTGAGGTCCATAATTGCTCTCATGCAGTGGCACATCAGATGCATGCATATCAGAAATCGTAAATTTGGGGAAAAACTAATTTTATAATTTTTTGTTAGGCCTTCCCTCCTCTTGTTCCCCATTCAGGACTAAAATGTTTCACCAGCATGTCAGATTTTTTTGGGGAAATTTGGGGAAAAACTAATTTTATAATTTTTTGTTAATCTTGTTCTTAGCCCTCCTCTTGTTCCTCATTCAGTGTATGTTAGGATGTCAAGTTCTATTGCATACCAGTATGATTTGGAAGATATACATTGTATTAATTTGTATTTTCCCATATTGCATGCATCTGTGCCCCAAAATTCTTCACATGCACATTTACTCTGCTTGGGAAAATCCTGGCATCAAAATGTAAACTGTGTGTTCATGCATTCTAGCTCCTTTTCTTATTGTGTAACAAATTTCAGGTTCTTGTGACATTATATATAGGGGGTGAAAACCAAGTGCACGGGCAACTTTTGTCTGAAAAAAAAAAGACAGACATGGTGGCACTAAAAACCTAAATGAGACAGATCAATAATTTTAACGGTTTATTCGGGGCAGGTATGTAGCTATCTGTGTGTAAAATTTCAAGTCTCTAACTTATTAGGAAAAAATTATGTGCGGACCCAACCAAGCCTCGGTCTTTCGAACTGACGGGACGCACCTGTCGTTGCCACAAACAGTCACACCAGTCGTGTCACTTTGTTTGGCTGTCCTGACCGTGGAGTGAACATTAACAAAGAGTCTAAGACATTATTAGGAGCAGTCTTGTTCTTAGCCCAGAGTGAATGAAAAAGATCAACTGCAAAAATAAAAATAAATAAAGTAACATGTAAAAAATAAAACGGCGTCTAGAGAGCAAAAAAACGGAAACTGACACAATTCTTCCTCCTTATTCAGAAGATTAAAACCATGCTCTACAGATTTAGGCTGAGAAAGTGTCCTGCTTAGTCCGTGTAATAACCATGTTACTTTAACTCGGAGGAGACTGATGAAACTCTGCACTAGGGTCAGTTTAGGGTCACCTTGTATCCTCGAGAAAGCTTTTATAAATGCAAAATACTTATAACGTCAACAGTACCCAAAATGCTATCCTCAGTGGGTTGTCTTCAGTGGGTATGGACGCCCGCTGAGGCTAAAGAGCTTATAATATGTTTAGGGTAATATTTGTTCGAGATTAGTTTCCTGCCTGGCTTGTTTAAAGGTACTTGAACTCTTAGCAGGGGTACATCCCTGTCCTTTTCAGGCTAGGGTAATTATCTATGAAACTCTTGAAAGATATGGTGGGGGAAAGCTGAGGTAGCGCTAGCAATTTATTTGCTGAGCCAAATCACTATTTATTCATTACTTTTTTCTTTCTCTAAATAGACTAAAACAATTCAAATCAATCATATTTTGTTTAGCCAAATTCAGGACTTGACAGCTCCTAACATTTGCATCACTTGCTTCGCACAAGTGATTTCTTTGGTCAGGCAGCTACAATTTCTAAAAGTCCTACTTGCCCAAAAAATGCGACTTGTTTGGACCTTTCTGTACTGTATAATGTTACCATCACTTCAGCAGTATTTTTTAATTAGTACCCCATGAGTAAGAGTGCATTCTGAACAGTAGACTTACAGATCTGGGGATCAAATATGGCAACCCACTGAAAAGTTTGCTACTTAATTCCCAATCAGATGCTGAATAGATTTCCCACAGGGATTATTATGCAACAAGTATTCAAGTGGGCTGGCCATATTTGATTCACAGATCTGTTAGTCCACTGTCCTGAATGTGCTCAATAAGGCATTTTGTGATGTTTTAAGTTCAATCATTATCACTTGTACCTGCATGATTAACACATGCTTTTGAATTCCAGTTTTTTCATAATTGCAGGTGAATGCTGTTTGGTGCTAAAATGATGGAAGGATTTGGTATCAAAGATGATGGATATGTCGGGCCTGTTACTTCATTACAGTTTTATAATGAATATCTCCTTGCAGGTTGGTTAAATACGATTGATTTGGTCATTGTAACCAAAAAATAAGCATCTCCGTTATTTCTGCTTGTCAACCAGTTATAATATGTGCTGAAATCATAGACCCTTGGAGAAGGCCCTACAGTAAATGGACTTCTGCAGAAGTAGGAGAATTATTGACATGAGTTGTTTGCCATTGCATAAGATAAAAACTACTGTCCAGATATGTATTTAAAGTGGAAATTTAAGTGGAGATTTTGATCTCAAATGTAATTGTAGAGTATTTTGGGCAGGTAACAAGCCGGGACATACTTGTCACATTCAGAAGTTCTATAACGGTGGCCTTCAAACAGGATTTAACAGGATCAATCCATCTCCAAGGGTTTTTTTGCTAAATTGCTTTCAGTTAAAGTGGCTTAGATATCTGGCACGCGTACTGAAGCTGTTTAACGATAATTAATTCGTTACCCCCTTAGCAGCTTTATTAGGCATGACGGACATCTAAACCACTTAAGTTGATTGCAATTTAGCAAGAATCCTTCGCGTATAGATTGATCCACAGTAAGTATGACAGGGTCTGGGAATGGTTCCTTAGCATTGTCAACAGCAAAAAAGGTCAGCATATCAGCAGTGTGTGCAACTTGGTGAGGTAAAAGAAAGATTTAAGAGCTCCAGGATTCAGGTTGACGTGCTTACTGAATGCTGTTTAACAGTTACATGCATCTATATCTACATCATTCATGCATTAGCACATACATTGCATATCAAGAGTGTAAATAGGAGTGTTATGCATTTATTGTTTTTATATAGTATTGTTCAAAACATATTTAAAATGTTGATGGCTATAACAGTATATGTGATTTTAGGTCAAGGACCAAACATTTTGGTATTTGACACAAAGATGAACTCCATGGTTTATAAAGAGCAGATGCTTTTCCCTGCTGTAGTACATGGAATTCAAATAGGTACAGTACATATGAAATGTATTACATGCTGTTATTGCAAATTAGAATAAATTCAAAAGTTTTAAAGAATTTATGCATACTAATAAATGAAAAAATAAAATATTGATTTTCTGACTTTATGTGGCTGCATGGATTGTAAATTTGACAAAATTATTTAAATTTATAAACTGTAAACTTGTTTTCTGTTTGCTCTATGACCAGAAAAAAGAACCACCTGTGTGTTTGGTCAGAAATCGTGCAGAGTGCTTCAGATATCCGGAGAAGAAGATTATATGTTGAGGTGAGTAATGTGTATGTGTATGTATATATATATATATATTTCTGAAAGAGAGTCAGATACTCTCAGTACAGAAAATATATCTTGATTACAATCATTTTATTGTCTGAAGAGCCTGAAACAGGTGAAAACGTTTATGACGATTAATTAACTTTTCCAATCATTATTTGACTTGTTTTGACTAAAAAAAAAAATTATATTATATTATATTATATTATATTATATTATATTATATTATAT